GGAGATGGCTTGAATAAGTAATGAAGAAAAACTTTAATATAAGTTTAACATAACAGCAAATGTACAACGTTTCAACAAGGTTTTGTCATCATCAGGTACAAAATGAGTTTCATTTCAACAAGTTTCAATTATGGAATACTAGATGGCTTCAGCATACATTTTGCCAAACCAATGATCAGTAATGTGCTTTAGAATGAGGAATTTCTTATCATTCAAATGAGAAACTTTATGTAATGAAAGTACTATGAAATGTGCTGCAGTGAATATGGGCTTGTAACTGCTACAAATATTAATTATACGACTTTCTTTAAAAATTACTTTTAATCTGATAAAGACAATTTCACTTTAGTTTCATGTACTCAGACTTAGCAAGCTATAGAACTTGTCATAGAATGGAAACTACAGAAATCCAAAGGACTTAATTTAGACAAAAGGAAAAGGTAAAAAAATAAACAACTATTTATCACAATCAATAATATGATTTCTGCCAAAGACTACAAGTGTCAAAAAAGTACCATCCTGAGATCCACACTTACCAAATATCCCACTTTGTCAAATTATTAGCAGTACAAAAACAACCCGTCATGACAGTACCAAGTTTCTAATGCCATTCCTGTTCTTTCTCGGAACTGAGACCAACAATTGTGTAACTAACATTAAGGTTTGTCACCAAACTGAAGAATCTACAGGTAAAACTCTGAAACCTTTTCAGTTAGTTTCGACATTCCAAATGTTCATAAATTTTTTTTCCTAGAGACCCTATCCATAACTTGACATAAGTTAGAAAAGTAGAAGTTAGGGTGTGCTGGCTGCCCCAAAAATGTCATCAATATAATGTTTGTAAAGAGTAGGAAGTATTCCTTGATAACAAACTATGAAGCATAAGAAGGAACCATTTTTGTGCCCATAGTAACACCTTTTATATGGTGGTTAAATATTCCATTAAAGGAGAATCTGTCCAGGGTTAATTCCACGTTCAGAACAATTTAAGAGGGTTCATGTGGGGGGTAGTGTAGATCACAGATCCATGTAATATTTGAGGGCTTTCATACCACTGTCATGGGAAATCGATATGTAGAGTGTTTATATGTTCATGGTAAATATATAGTTTTCACTAACGGAGAACTTAAAGTTATTGAAAATTCAGAGTGCATGTGTCATGTTTTTTATGCACCTGGGAAGAGATGAGATGACGGGCTTAAGAACATCATCAAGAAAAGAGGAAATTAATTCAGTAGGGCAGTTACAACCAGAAATAATAGGGCAACCAAGGTTACCAAATTTATGTATTTTGGAGAGAGAAGGTAAAATTACCTATATTTTACTGTTTTTAATAAGAAGTATAAATAACACTTACAAAAATAGAAATAAAAAAGTAAGAAAGTGGATATTTGTTTCTTTGTAATTTACAAGATGATGGCATAACAAATGCATGCAGAGTAACAACATGATTTAATATACCAGCTTCTAAAGAACATGAAATGGAATGAACTATGCAGGAAAGCAAATCTCAAAAGCTCTTCATTTTGACACTTATAAATCATACAGGAATCAAAAACACTGTGATAACAATCATTTATTCCATTCCATGTTGGTGAAGACCAAGGCAAAGCCCTCATGCTCGAATAGATTAACCAGTGTGACTGTAACATAGCTACAAGCTGATATCGATGCCAACATCAGCTTGGATGGAATAGACAGAGCCATAAATACATCTAAAAATGAAGCTACAGGTCCAAATGGTGTAAAAAATCTCCACCTTTAAGAACTTTACAGAAGCCAGACTGTTGGGGTACCAATGTAGCTGGGCAACATGAAACCCATGAAGGATCACTCTTGACTTAAAAAAGCCATCAAATCATTGTCCTATAATACATCACTGGGAAGATCCCGGATCTTGGTTGTAGCATATATGATTGAAGCACTACTACCAATAACATTAGGTGGATATTGTAGTGCAAGAAAGATTTGTATCAATGCTGCTGAATTTGCAACTAATAACTGGGAAGGCTTTGAAGCTAATCAGAACACCTTTGTAGTAATGTTAGATCTGAAAGATGCCTACAATAGAGTACAACTGCCCATTTTTGCTGACAAAATGTTCAAAATCAGCATCAGTGTAAGATGGGTCATAGTCACACTAACTACCCGAAGATGTAAGATGAAGAATGGAAGCTAGCAATGAGATTTGATTACCATAAACACTGATCTTCCTAAAGGACCACCACTTTCACCAGTCCACTTCAACTTTTATACCACTGATAGTCCAACTAGATTATGACAACATATGCTGCAGAGGTTCTAGCAAAGCTGAAATTGAAAGCAGGATGCAACCATGTGTTTGAAGGGTGAGCAAATGGTGCAATGACACGGGAATGATCATCAATTTAATAATTGTATAT